ATCTGCCTTTATAAGCATGTGCTACAATTAACCCTCTGACTGTTACAGCTTGCCCCGTGGGTGGGGTAAATTGTAACATTTTTACTCCTGACACTTTTGGCAATACTGCACAGAGACCATAGGTCCGGCGATCATAATTCCAGTGCTTATTTGTAGGAGAGGCTTGTGTGTTGTTGGTAAAAAAAAAAAAATTGCTACTTTGTCCATTATTTAACTAAAACCAAAAAGTGTGACTTTGTGCCCCGCTCTCCCCTAGTTGCTTTACTTGGACTCTGACTCGATGTCTAATGTTGGTTTCTCTTTGCTTGCCAAATAGTGTATTGTGGCAAATATTGTATAAAGAGAGCAATTGTGCTCTGTTTAATTGATTCTGTGGTGGTTTAATTATTGGTCAAATCAGTAAAATTGATTTTGACCTATTAGGTTTGAACAATGTTTTATCACAAAAGTAGCTCTGCATCAAGAAAATGGAACTCAGCAATACTAAAAAATCTCCAACCACTGTTGAGATATACAGCTGAAGTCAGAATTATTCACCTCCCCTTTGATTTGTTTTTTCTTTTTTAAATATTTCCCAAATGATGTTTAACAGAGCAAGGAAATTTTCACAGTATGTCTGATAATATTTTTTCTTCTGGAGAAAGTTTTATTTCGGCTAGAATAAAAGGAGTTTTAAATTTTTTTGAACACCATTTTAAGGACAAACTTATTAGCCCCTTTATTTCTATTCAATAGTCTACAGAACAAACCATCGTCATACAATAACTTGCCTAAATACCCTAACCTGCCTAGTTAACCTAATTAACCTAGTTTAGCCTTTAAATGTCACTTTAAGCTGTATAGAAGTGTCTTGAAAAATATCTAGTCAAATATTATTTACTGTCATCATGGCAAAGATAAAATAAATCAGTTATTAGAGATGAGGTATTAAAACTATTATGTTTAGAAATGTTTCATTTTATCTGCACTATTGTTGTGTATATTTTTTTATTTCTCTTGTTGTTTTATTGCTTTTGTTGATTGTACGGTGTCCATGAGTTGCTAGAAAGGTGCCTTTAAATAAAATGTATTATTATTATTATTATTAAATGTGTTGAAAAAAAATCTTCTTTTGGTTAAACAGAAATTGGGGAAAAAAAATAAACAGGGAGGCTAATAATTCATGGAGGCTATTAATTAACAACTAATAAACTAATAAACAACTGTATATGCTGATTATTGATGTCTGTGTCTCTAAAGGGATTCAGATGCTCAATGTGTTTTAATAGAACACCACAGCTGATGTTCATTCTCTTGATAAACACTGAATTTTGAATCTTAAATGATTAACCATAGATTTAAGCATAATTTGCAAAGTCAAACATAATCTCTTATCACTCTTATCAAGGGAAAGAATCAACACAGGATCAGTCAATCTGATCATATTTGCTCTCTTTATACTTGTCATAGCAAGCAAAGAAAAATCAACTTAAGAATTCGAGTCAAAAAGCCTAAGTTAATCAACAATGTCACCATCGTGAAGAAAAGTGGGAGGAAAAAGACATTTTCTTTTGTTGTTTTTTGTAAAATGTAAATAACTAAAACAGTTAACTCTCAATAAATCTCATATGGACTTTTGTGAACATCTGACAGAAATAAAGTCAAACAGGTAAGCAATGAGCGAAGCTGCTGCTGCTGCTGTTTCAAGTCAGTTGTGGTGTTGATTCTCTTTTGTTTCTGCATATTAACAGCAGGTGCTCATAAAATAGTTTGCAACATTTTACCTTAAAAGATGTAGTAAATCTAATTAATCTAAAATTTCAGTCTATACTGCTATATACTATATATAAATGAGCTGTAAATTAGATTTTCCTTTTTTATCTGCACTCAGTGTGACAGTGACAGCTATGAGAAAAGTTTAGAGACCACTTGAAAATTCTTAGATTGTCTGGATTTTATCAGATATGGTGTTTATTAGGTATTATAATGTTTATATTTGTGTGGCATGGTGACTCTGTGGTTAGCACTGTCAACTCGTATCAAGAAGGTCACTGGTTTGAGTCCTGGCTGGGTCAGTTGGCATTTCTGTGTGGAGTGTGCATGTTCTCCCGGTGTTGGCGTCCCAACACATGTAATATAGGTGATTTGGGTACACAAAATTAGTCTCAGTGCATGAGTGTGTGTATGGGTGGTTACCAGTGCTGGGTTGCGGTTGGAAGGGCATCTGCTGTGTAAAACGTACTGGAGTAGTCAGCAGTTCATTCCTCTGTGGCAATCCCTGATAAATAAGGGACTAAGCCGAGGGAAATCGAATGAATGAATGTTCATATTTGTTTTATTTTGAGAAGGTATGATGAGATTTCTTCAAAGTTCAAATAAAAATATGGTCATTTAGAGCATTTCCCTAAAAAAAAAATGTAAGTGATCGGATTTACAAAATGATTTACAAATTAAAGCATTTCTGAAAACTTTTCTCCTCATTTTACGCTAAAAAAGCTCTAATTGACAACATTTTTAGTAAAATTTGGATGAAATATTATCAAGATCAAAAATGAGGTCTTCCTCAAATACCCAGAGAAACGAATAAATTCCTCAGGTGGAGTTTTGCAGTGTTTTGTTACATAACCAGACAAAAGTAAAAAGCTCAGTATTTAAAGTAAACAGACTCAAGTAAACAGACAAGTAAAAATTAATCCCTAAAAATAATACTCGCAGTAATCAAGTGAAATCACACCCCTGCTGACTGACCACCTCTGTTGAACCACATGTAATTTTGGCAGAAGCAAATGTTCCTGTGGTTATCAGTGTACAGTAACTGCCGTCCGACTCATTTGCAGCGCCTCTAACAGGTAAACATGCGGTAAACCCGTGCTTCAGTCAGTTAAAGACACCTTTATTGCTTGCATTTGCTTTAGCTGCTGGACATTCCTCTGCCCACGTCCCACGATTTTCCATAAAAGCTGTAAAAAACAAATCCTTAACTGAGTTTGAGTGTGGAACGCACAGTAATAAAGAGAGAAATGTTGAAGGTGTTTAAAAAAGCTTTAGTTTGACTGTACATCCACCCTTAGAAGAAAATATTAAGAGACCATGAAAAGTTTCTTTGTATTTTTACAATCATTCATTAATTTTTCTTCAGCCTAGTCGCTTACTATCAGGGTTCACCACTGTGGAATGAACCGCCAACTATTCATGCATATGTTTTACACAGCGGAAGCTCTTCCAGCTGCAACCCAGTACTGGTAAACACCCATACACTCGCACACACACTCATACATTATGTCCAATTTAGTTTATTCAATTCCCCTACAGCAGAAAAACCCATTGTCAGATGCTGATCCATCGTCTTATGTCCATGTGGCAGTCTGGTGTTATTATAAACGCCGGGATTATATTTATTCGGCTCAAGTTTAACATATATTAATCACAGATAACGTTACACTTCCAACCCAGTTACTGGACCACCTGTCCTTTACTCATCTAAAACCTGGAGGAAAGATGGGATTTATACGGTAAATAATTCACTTTTCTGTATGTGATGGACAACACGTGCTTCAGCTAAGTGTGTAAAAAGTGAAGATATATTAATGCTCAGAGATTGAGATTTGCATCTTGTGATACTGAAGACTGATGATATGTGAGTGAAATTTATCCATATTAAACTTCCACAATACTCATATAATATTTCCAGTGGTTGCCAGGGTGTTGCTAAGCAATTCTGTGAACATGGTTGCTAGGATGTTTCTTATTGTTCCAAGTCAAAAGAGTTCTAGGGTATCTTGGGTGGTTGCCAGGGTACTGTTCAGTGGTTACTAAGAGACATTGTGGTTGCTAGGATGTTTCTTATTGTTCAAGTCAAAGGGTTCTAAGATATCATTGTTGGTTGCCAGGGTACTGCTAAGTGGTTGCTAAGGCACATTGTTGTTGCTAGGATGTTTCTTATTGTTTCAAGTCAAAGAGTTCTAGGATATTGTTGGTGGTTGTCAGGGTGCTGCTCAGTGGTTGCTAAGGCACATTGTTGTTGCTAGGATGTTTCCTTTTGTTTAAAGTCAAAAGAGTTCTAGGGTATCTTGGGTGGTTGCCAGGGTACTGTTCAGTGGTTACTAAGACACATTGTGGTTGCTAGGATGTTTCTTATTGTTTCAAGTCAAAGGGTTCTAAGATATCGTTGGTGGTTGCCAGGGTACTGCTAAGTGGTTGCTAGGGCACATTGTGGTTGCTAGGATGTTTCTTATTGTTTCAAGTTAAAGAGTTCTAGGATATCGTGGGTGGTTGTCAGGGTGCTGCTAAGTGGTTGCTAAGGCATGTTGTTGTTGGTAGGATGTTTCTTTTTGTTTAAAGTCAAAAGAGTTCTAGGATATTGTGGGTTGTTGCCAGGGCACTGCTAAGTGGTTTCTAGGATGTTTCTTATTGTCCCAAGTCAAAAGAGATTTTGGATATTGTTTGTGGTTGCCAGGCCAACGCTAAGTGGTTGCTAAGGTGTTTTGTGCTTGCTAGGGTTTCATATTGTTTCAAGTCAAAAGAGATCAAGGATATTGTAGTTGCTACAGTATGTGGTTGCTAAGTGCAAAGATGTTTTGTGGTTGCCAGGAGGCTTCCTATTGTGGTTGCCATGCCAGCTAAGTGGTTCCTGAAGTGTTTTTCTTATTATATAAAAGTGTTTCTTATTGTTTCAAGTCAAAAGAATTATAGGATATTGTGGGTGATTTATAGAGCGTTGCTATGTGGTTGCTAAGGTGTTCTGAGTGCTGTGTGTTCTGTTTTAATTATTTTAAGTAATTAGAGTTCACCCTCAAGTCATCCAGTTCACCCAATCCTCAATGCCAGGCGTGTGATGACTTGACTGCAAACCAGACTGGTTCGGTTTTACACACCTGATAAACAAGCAAAGGTAGAGGAGAAAGGTAAAAACACAAGCGACTACAGGAGTACGGCTGTGTTGAGAAACGTGAGCACAACAAGATTTAACATGTTTGTTTTTTCTGCTTATATATTTGATTTCTGTCTGTTTTCTATTTCAGAATGGAGGATGAAGCTGTAGTGGACAGAGGAGCATCGTACATCAAAAACGTGTGTGACGAGGAGGTCGAAGGTAAGAAACGTGCACACACACACACACACATACACACACACATACATATATATATATATATATATATATATATATATATATATATATGTACAGTGGTGTAAAGTAACAAATTACAAATACGCAAACGACTGTAATTGAGTATTTGTACTAAGTAGTTTAATAAATGTGTACTTTTACTTTCCCTTGAGTTTATTTTTAGTGCTGTATCGGTGCTTTTACTCCACTACTTTCCTTCAACCTGCAGTTACTACTTTATTTTTTCTTGTCTATGGGGGTCAGAAAACTCAGTCCTGTTATTCCTGTCCAATCAGATCACACATAGAAGGTAAATCGCCTCATAATGAACTACGTCAAGACATCGGTGCTTTATAATTGCACCAAACTGTTTGGAAACATTAAACGTGTCTTAGTAGATGTTTAAAATCTTTACACGCATTGACCCAGAGACTGGTTAGATGCATGTAACTGATGAGAAGATGATGAATATTTACTGTATGATGACTGAAACCTTAAACACTCAGCAGGCACAAGACGTCAACATGTCGTCAAATTAACGTTGTACCTCAACATCGTGTGGACGTTGCATTTTGTTTGGAAATGAAAATTGAGTTGACGTCAGAACTTAACGTCAGACTGATGTCCAACATCCAACGAAAAATCAACGTCTAATGATGTTACAGTTTTTTTTTTTTTAAGTTTTATTTTTGGCCTTTTTGCCTTTATTATTAGATAGGACAGTATTTAGACAGGAAGCGAAGTTGGAGAGAGAGAGAAGGGGTAGGGAAATGTCCAAGAGCTGGGATTTGAACATAGGACGCCCTGACGTGCTACTGCACCAAATGTCGACGTGCTAACCACTAGGCTATTGCGCCAACTAATGATGTTATAGTTGAATGTTGTGTGACACCAGATGTTAGATTTTGGTAGCCTTACCTGACGAATAAATGTCAGTATTTGACGTCAATATGATGTTGGTTTAAAATGTCAGCTTGACGTTGGATTTTGGTCACTTTCTAACAACCTAAAATCAACCAAATATCAACGTTGTTTAATGTCATTATTGGAGATCAAAATAGACGCTGGCTAAACGTTGAATTTTGGTCACCTGACATCACAACCTAAACCTTACCAAATATTAATGTCTTATGATCCTGTGTGCCTGCTGGGCAATAACTAAATTAGGCTGGGGCGATGAATCGAAAAGTGATCGAAATCGACATTCTAATCGATCAAATTTTTTCAATTACTTTCCCTACGTGTCACGTGACCCCGCTCTGTTAAATACTGTGGCTGATTTTTACTTCTAAGGCCACTTTGCAGCCACATCTAATCTGGTCAAGTTGGGCGATGGACCCCTTCTTGAGCCTTACTTTGCACTACATTGATGATGATTGGAAGCTGCGCCAGAGATGCCTTTAAACGACATATAAAGCTTGTCAGTGAACTATGAGGGCAAAAAATTAGGTGAAGTTTATTTATGAACTAATTTCGAGAGGATCACGTGCTTATGATTGCTTGCAACCATCAATTTATGCTTCAACAATCAGACCATTGCTAAGCTACTATAAATACCCTGAGTTCCATATAACAGCCATCTTCATTTTGAAGAATCCCCCCTTCCACCCCTACTCCTCCTCCTTTCCCAGATGGGTGGCTTGGTGGCCCAGTAGTTAGCACTGTTGCCTCACAGCAAGAACATCACTGGTTCTAGTCTTTACCAAGCTAGCCGACGTTTCTGTGCAAATTTACATGTTCTCCCCATGCTCACGTGGGTTTCCACAGTGTTCCCCGGTTTCCTCCCAAAATCCAAATCCACTAATCCAAATCAGCAGCATAGACATGCTCCTAGTAAGTGGATATCTCTCAAGAGCAATCACTATCTGTTCATTAGCTAATACAGCAGAGAAGTTCTCTAGATCTACCTGAGCTCAAACTCCCATGACGGGAAGGGAGCCCCGGGCTCGAGGATCTTATGAGCTCAGGGCCCTCTCCCGGGACCAAACAAGCTTTATAATCAATCATCAGCTAAGTGTGAACTCTTGAAATAAACAAATATAATAATCGTTCATCAATCGTAATCGAGTTAAAATGTTCAATTAATCGATATTTTGATTTTAGGCCAAATCGCCCAGCCCTAAACTAAATATACTACAGAATGTTACGTTTACACACATGTAAACACATTAGCTTTTTACAGCATAATACTCACTACTCTTGAGTACTTGTGAAAGGTCTACTTTTTACTTCTACACTGAGTAATATTTACAGTAGATACTTTAACTCTGCTTGCACTACATTTTAAGCAAGTAACGGTACTTTTACTCGAGTGATTTTTCAGTACTCTTTCCACCACTGCTGTTATATGATCGGCTGTGTGTCAGTGGCTGTGGATCAGTAAGACTCTTAGTTACTGTGGGTTGAGTTTCACACTCACTTTCACTCACTCCTCTCTTTCTCTCTCTTTTGCTTTTGTTGTTTATTTATTTCTTGCTTCGGTAGTAATATGTGCTTAAGGACAGGAGAGGATTATGCAGATGTAGCAAATCAAAGCTCTATACAGGAAGATGTTTACCATCTTAATCCACACACACTCACGCACACTGTTATTGTCTAAACATGTGCCACTTTATTGCACAACTCTTCATCTCATCCACACAGCACCTGCTAACCATCTTAAGTGATATGAAGTATATCTACATGATAGTAAAACATAATAATAATAACAGTAAATTAATCTGTCATTTTACAAAGATTAGCAGTCATGTTTATTTCTAGGACAAATTGTATGAAAGCTATATAGCGAACACCAAATATTTAATATATACTAATATAATTATTTTCTTAAGAATTAACACTTGCACATACACATACATACAGGCAGTTGAAGTCAGAATTATTAGCCCCTTTTGATTTTTTTTTCTTTTTAAAATATTTTCCAAATGGTGTTTAACAGAGCAAGGACATTTTCACAGAATGTCTGATAATATTATTTCTTCCGGAGAAAGTTTTATTTGTTTTATTTCGGCTAGAATAAAAGCAGTTTTTAATTTTTTAAACACCATTTTAGGGACAAAATTATTAGCCCCTTTAAGCTATATTTTTTCTTCACTGTCTACAGAACAAAGCACTGTTATACAATAACTTTCCTAATTACCCTAACCTGTCTAGTTAACCTAATGAACCTAGTTAAGCCTTTAAATGTCACTTTAAGCTGTATAGAAGTGTCTTGAAAAATATCCAGTCAAATATTATTTACTGTCATCATGGCAACGATAAAATAAATCAGTTATTAGAAATGAGATATTAAAACTATTATTTAGAAATGTGCTGATAACAATCTTCTTTTGTTTAAACAGATATTGGTGAAAAAATAAGTAAACAAGCGGTCTCATAATTGGGGGGGGGGTTATAATAATTATGACTTCAACTGTACATACATGCATACATACATACATATACATACATACAGTGAGGGAAATAAGTATTAAACACGTCATGTTTTTTTCTGGGAATAAAATATATATTTTTTAATAATTATATTTTATTGGATTTTTCAAGAAAATCCACAAAGAAACACATACATATATACACACACACAAACACACACAAACACACACAACACTTGGCACTGTCTCGGACAAATCCTATACAAAGAGTCAATAAACAAATAACAATGACAAAATAGTTTAGCAAATGACAACAGAAAATAGAATAAAGAAGTAAAATTTAAAAAATTAAATATGTAAAATAAGTAAATTAAGTCTCTGAAGAATCTTCAGAGGTTGAGTGGCTGGTTTGCTCATCCAGATAGTTAAGATATAAACCCCAAACACTGAAAACATTTTTCAACAGAACGAGTCCTTTCAGTCTTTCAATCTGTATAACCGAAGTCATGTCTGCAATCCACATTTGAAACGTAGGAGGTGAAGATGACTTCCAATGCTGGAGCAAAAGCCTTTTAGCCACAGTTTTACCTAAAGACAATGACTGCTGGAGGCCATCTGGGAGATGAGAAGTGTGTTGTGAATCAGGTGGTTAAGATTAAAGATAAGCTTCAGAGTACCAATCAAATATGTGTTTGACCAAAATGTATATAACAAAGGACAAAACCAGAAAGCATGGGAAGTCGTGTCTTCTGTCACTTTGCACCTGTCACATGGTGATATGGAGGGAAAAAGTATGCAACTTGGCTTTAGTATGATGTAATCAATGGATAGTGAACAGGACCGTATCATCTCCAGGCATTTATCCCATGTGTCTGCAGAAATTTCAGCCCCTAAATCTTTCTCCCAGGCAGCAGGAATAATATTTCTAAAGGAGCTGCTGATTTGGAATTGAACCAGATTTTGGTAAAACTCCAAACGATACAAACATAAAAATAAAACAAAACCAAAAACTATGAAAAGATTATGAGTAATAACAATGAATTGACACAAAGATCATGTACTGAACTACTGAAATGTATTTAATAATTTATGTTAAAGGCTTTTTTGGTGCTGGCAACTTACAGACTGAAGTCACATGCATTGCTCAGGTGTGAGGTTTTCACAGACTTCAACAGAGTGTAAAAATCTTGATGGTTTTGTGGGTCTCGTCTATCAAGTCTGATTTTTATTTTGTATTTTCTATTGGATTTAAGTCAGGTGATTGGCTGGGCCATTCTACAGCTTGATTTTCTTTCTCTGAAAGCATTTGAGAGTTTGCTTGGCTGTGTTTTGGATCATTGTCTTGCTGAAATGTCCACCCTGGTTTCATCTTCATCCTCCTGCTAATGTAGATGTTGGACTGAAGCAGCGAATATTCATTTACAACGAGGAAGAGCAGAGGGTTGCTGAAGAACTACTGAGAAATTTCAGCTGCTGTCTGGGCTTTCACTGCATTTCTACTCCTCCCTTTCTTCATGTGTTCAATACTTTCCCCCTGTCATTTTATTTTATTACACAGAACTTTATTTGTAAACTAACTAGAATTGTTTTCTGTTCATATATTCATTTATTTATTTCCTTTTCGGCTTAGTCCCTTTATTAATCAGGGGTTGCCACAGCAGAATGAACCACCAACTTATCCAGCATATGTTTTACACAGCGGATGCCCTCTCCAGCTGCAACTCAACACTGGGATACACGCTTACACTCATACATATGGCCAATTTAGCTTATTCAGTTCACCTGTACCGCATGCCAGTTGGCATTTCTGTGTGGAGTTTGAATGTTATCCCTGTGTTTGCGTGGGTTTCCTCTAGGTGCTTCAGTTTCCCCCACAGTCCAAAGACATGCGGTATAGATGAATTGAATAAACTAAATTGGCCATAGTGTATGAGTGTGAATGAGTGTGTATAGGTGTTTTACAGTACTTGGTTGCAGCTGGAAGGGCATCCGCTGTGTAAAACATATGCTGGATAAATTGGTGGTTCATTCCGCTGTGGCAACCACTAATGAATAAAGGAACTAAGGTGAAAAGAAAATGAATGAATGAATAAAAATGGCCATAGTGAGTGTGAATGAATGTGTATGGATGTTTCTTAGTACTGAGTTGCGGCTGGAAGGGCATCTAAAAAACAAAACCTACACTACTGCTTTAGGGTCAGTTTTTTTATTATTATTAAATTTATTTAATTGTTAAAATAAAATGATTCTTTTCATCAAGGTTATTAAATTGTTAAATAATTATTTATCACTTTTTGTATGTAGTTTCAAATGAAATTATTACTTCTGTCATTATTGCTTTTATTATTATTACCATTAATAATAATAATAAATTAGAAGAAGAAGAAGAAAAAATAATAATAATGAAATAAATAATAATAATAATAATAATAATAAAATAATAATATTAATTCAAATATCATAATAATAATAATGATAATAAAAATTACAATAATAAGCATAATAATAATAAAATAATAATCATCATCATGATAATAATGATGATAATGATAATAAAAAATTCTAAAAATAATAATAAACAATAATAATAATGATAATTATAATAAAAAATATATCATAAAAATAATAAACATCATCATCCTAACAACAACAACAACAATAATAATAATAATAATAATAATAATTAATATTAGAGTGATTTCTGAAGAATAATGTGACTGAAGACTGGAGTAATGAAGCTGAAAATTCATCTTTAAATCACTGGAATAAATGATTAAATTAAATCATAAACTAATTTTGAACAGTTCTTTTATAGTGCAATACCACTTTCACCATTTGTTCTGTATTTATGATGAAATAAGCGCCGCCTTGATGAGCAGGAGAAGCTTATTTTAAAACATTTAAAAATCCTACTGATCTCAAACGTTTGACCAGTAGTGTATGCTGGAATAGTTGGCGATTCATTCCGCTGTGGTGACCCCTGATAAACAAGGAACTAAGCTATAGGAAAATGAATGATATTTATAAATGTATTAAATGCAGTTCTGACACTGTTGGCCATATTCAGATCTGCAGCAGCTCTAATGTTCCAGCATTGATCTGAATAGAGTCATGATGATCAGCTGAGAGCAGCGCAGCTCTGTGAAATTCTCCCTCGGTTGTGGAATTTATAAAGTATTACAGGTTCAGACGTCTAAAAATATCTGCACATCAAAAGCAGAACAAACACACATTCACGAACATGAGCACTTCACACACACATGCGCTTTCTGCATTTATCTCTCTCTCTCTCTCTCTCTCTCGCTCTCTCTCTCTCGCTTGCTCTCTGAACTTTGGACCTTCACATGATTGTATCACACACACTCACATGCACACTTGCATGCGCGCAAACAAACACAAACACACACACACACACACACACATTCACACTCACACATGCAAAATACACACACATAAACTCTCTCATTCAGTCTCACAGACACACACACACATGCACACAAACTCTCTCTTTTACACACACACGTAGACCAACTCATACACACACATTCCCACTTAAACTGTCTCTCTATCTTACACACACACACACACACACAATCAAACTCTCTTTTGTGTACACACACACACACACACACACACACACATACATACATACATACATACATTCATAGACACACAAACTCTCTCACACACACATACACAAACTCTCATTCAGTTACACACACACAAACTTTCTCCCACATGGTCACACGCACACACACACATGCAAACTCTCTCTCAAAGTCACACACGCAGACACACATGTTCGTATACACACAACACACACACAAACTCTCACATTCACACTCGCACACAAACTCATACACACACATTCCCACTCAAACTTTCTTTCTTACACACACACACACACACACACACTCAAACTCTCTCACACACACACGCTTACACACACACACAAACTCACACACACAAACCCACAGACACACACAAACTCTCTCTCTCTCACATCCACACTCGCACACAAACTCATTCACATACAAACACACACATTCAAACTCTCTCTCTCCCACACACACACACACATACACACACACTATCAGATAACGGCTGCTTGGCATATTTGTTTAAAGTCAGCAGGCGGTTGGTTGATTCATGATTGATGGATGGCTGATCATTTTATTAGTCCTCCTCGTAACGCTGTGAGGGTGTGTGTTCATCTGAAGTGTGTGTTTGCTGTCTGTTTTTACATGCACTTCCTGGAGATGTCTGGTCATTTCCTGTCCGATCAGCTGTACAGGAAGTTGTTGGCATTTAACTGTAATCTAGCAAGTGTGTGATACGGGTCAGTTTTTCCTTCAGAGAGAAACCCACACACACACACATACACACACGTACTGTATGTGAACACAGAAACACAGAGAAATTCTTCCTCAAAATATGTCAAATGTTGTAAATCATTGATCAAGCGTCCTGAATTATCAAGCATGAACTCATTTTTAACTTGCACAAATATGTTAAGAGGTGAATCATAATGCGTTCATTACCTCAGTGTTATCTATTATTAATACTATTGTACTATTGCAGCATTGTGAAAGTTTATCTATTATTTATTTGTTATTTATTGTTTATTTGTTATGTATTTATTTATTTATTTGTTTATTTATTCTTTGAATTCATTTATTATTTCATTCCTTGCTTCATTCATTCATTTATTATTTGATTCATTGAGTCAATCATTCACTTATTATTTGATTCCTTGATTCATTCATTTATTATTTAATTCCTTGATTTATTCATATATTTATTTATTATTTGATTCCTTGATTCATTCATTCATTCATTATTTTATTCCTTGATTCAGTCATTCATTTATTATTCAATTCCTTGATTCATTCATATATTTATTTATTATTTAATTCTGTGATTCATTCATTCAGTCATTTAGTATTTGATTCTTTGAATTATTCATATAATCATTTATTATTTGATTCGTTGATTCATTATTTGATTCCTTGATTCATTCCTATATTTATTTATTATTTGATTCCTTGATTCATTCCTATATTTATTTATTATTTGATTCCTTGATTCATTCATTTATTTATTTATTATTTGATTGATTGAGTCATTCATATATTTATTTATTATTTGATTCCTTCATTCATTCATTATTTGATTCATTGAGTCATTCACATATTTCTTTATTATTTGACTTCTTCATTCATTCATTTATTTATTATTTGATTCCTTGATTCATTAATATATTTTTTATTATTTGATTCATTCATTCATTGATTATTTGATTCCCTGATTCATTCATTTATTAATTATTTCATTCCATGATTCATTCATATATTTATTTATTATTTGATTCCTTGATTAATTTATTCATTTATTATTTGATCAATCAATCATTCATTCATTCATTATTTGATTCCTTGATTCATTCATATATTCATTTATTATTTGATTCATTGATTCATTCATATATTTATTTATTTGATTCATTGGTTCATTCATTTGTTTTTGATTAATTCATTCAAAAACAAAATTCTTTTAATTAATTTTTAAGAGAGGAGGCACGGTGGCTCAGTGGGTAGCACTGTCGCCTTACAGCAAGAAAGTCGCTGGTTTGAGTCCCAGCTGGGTTAGTTGGCATTTCTGTGTGGAGTTTGCATGTAGACATTGGAAAATGCTGTTTGGCATTGCTAACAATTCAGCTACAAATTCATATTCATAAAATTGCTGTTAACAAAAGTTACAATAAATAAATAAATGATTAATTGAATGAATCAAGAAATCAAAGAATAAATAAATAAATAAATAAATCAATGAATCAAATAATAAATGAATGAATGAATCAAAGGTGTACAATGTTGTATGTGTGCAACATACTGTTAACGCTAGACATAATGCATGTCATAGATCAATTTTAACAAATAAAAATACTTACAGGTTGTGGCTCACAATCCAGAGCTTCGTCTATTATGGTTCGAGCTGCTTCTTTGAGGAGTTTTTAGCTGAATCCAGCACTGAACTGGGAGAGATTCTGGAAGCTGTCCTTTGTCAAATGCTAGCTATATACATTTTTTATAATGCTCTGGAACATAATTAAAGTTAAATTAAAAGCACTTTTCTCTTTGTGTCGTGTCTTTTGGAAGCCCAAATACAGACACAGAAGAAGCTTTGTGGAAATAGCAGCGTTTGGACGCCAATTTAGCTTTCTCTGCTATAACATTACAGTGTCTCTGGCCAGGCACCTTTGCTGCACAGTGTGTGTGCGCGTGGTGAATGTGTGTAACCAGAAGCGTTTGTGATTTTACTAGCCCGGATGTATTTTTTTGTATTCCCTAAACTTTGTTCATTGTAGGCTTTGCTACGCTAAGTGAACTTTGAGCGTATTAAATTCAGAGATGTTGTTTACATTCACACAGTTACATTACACAACTAAAGTTTAAAATTTTATATCATAGTGGACCCCACCTTTAAGTGTTAATAAGTGGATTGTGTTCTTACTATGTTTATTTTTCCACACTTTAAGGTCAT